CGAGCAAGAAGGAGTAAGGACACTTTAATAACCCGGTTGCATTGGAAAGGGGTCTGGAACGAGAGCCTGGGAACAAGACAGTTCGCTGCCATACTGGAAACATGCTGTCTTCTTCAGTGATGAACAAACAAAAGGTATAGTGAATCTGCAGAATTTCTTTGCTATCCCATCCCTATAACCCATTGATTCTTTTTATGGCAAGATTTCCGTATAACCCCATACATTGATTATGCATACAACTCTTTGTTTAACTAAACAATAGTAGAAACAATAGAGTTCCTTTGAGACTTATCCACTTTCAATAACTATAAAATTTGCCATTTTGTCTTGCATTCTTTTAGACTCTAAAAATACGGCCAAATCGTGAAGAAAACATGATAGGATGTGACAATTTGCATTGCAGTGTGAATTGGTACCATTTTTTGTGTGCAGGGATTGATATAAAGAATGTGCCAGAAGGAGAACGGCTGTGCATTTCCTGCTGGAAAAGTTGAAGACATAATGGACTATGTTGTGTCCTTTTATGGTGATGTGTCCTGAATGATGCTAGAAAATTTGGCACTTGTGAAAATGTGTTGACCAAACGTCAAGGTATTCAAAATAAATGTCAATCACACTCCTGAAAGTAATACTGCAGGTTTACACAAGGAGTTTTTTCTTTTGTCTCCTGTATGTGGTGGATTATCCTCATTTTGGTAGGGATTAGACCCAAAAATATGTCCCCTGTATGTAGGGCATTATCCTTGTTTGGTTGTGCTCTGTGGCTAATGTCCCATGATTCCCTGGGGTGGGGGGTGGGGGTTTGCAGTGACAGGTGCATAATATGAAACAGTTCAGAGTTATATAATATAAGCTTTCAAGATCTAAACTGCATGTACCAAAAAAAATACCTCACATCCTGATTTTCTGCAGAGCAATGATCTTCCTCATTTTGTTGCTAAAGGAAAGATGCATTGTAGGAATGAAATACCAAAAGTTCTCACCGACCAACAAAACAATTATTATACTTGCTGCTTTTTACAACATGTAATCTAATGATCATAAACTTACCTCGTTCCTGTCCGCCATGATAAATGGGGTCAGTACAGCACCGTGTATGGTTCATGTATGTGTCATGAAGTGTACTAATAGATGGTGGTTATTTTTCATGGTTACAAGAGACCACTAGGAGCCAAGACACGTGATCACATCTTGACACGAGTGGCGTGATGTATGACGAAATTGCGACCATATACAAAACAAAACCTGAGTTTCGAGTGAAAAAAAAAGGCCTCGAATCGTTCCCAGGGCTTTTTCCTTTGAAATTGGCCCCTCCCATTTTCAAAGGGAAAAGCCCTGGGAACGAGGTTGGGGGCCCTACTCAAAGTTGACATATAACAGGCGTCCCTTGTAACGCCTCTCATTCGGCTAACAATCAGGGCGAATGAACTAACCAAATTATGGCAGCGCCATCAGGAAGCTATTTTCCCAGACGTAATCCAATACCTACGAATAACCAAGAGCTAATGGCTCTTTGGTTCAAACATCGCTACTTTGTCTACCTACAAAGACTCCAACAAGACAGACTTATTGGTCCTTTATGTTCCTGTACCCTCGGAATTCAACAGAATGTCTATGATCAACTACCAGAGAAGCAGCAGGCCCAGATAGCCGACATGTTTCGTAGCGCGGAAGGAGATTGGGCTTCAGACGGCCCTGAAGGAGGTTTCAACTCGCCTCAAACTGGCGGAAGAGGAAGACCCATTTTTCCAGTTCTCTTGATTGAGTCACCGCACACAGGCGACCGAGTCATCAAACCATTCGCATGGGGTGGTAGCCGAGGCACGTTTTGTCTTTCTACTGACGGAACAAAGCGCTTGGTGGCTTTGCCCTACGCCACAGCTAAATTTTACTCTGGGCATACACCGGATGACGGAGGAGAAATGTGGCCAATTTTTCTGGTTTTTGCGGACATTCGAGATGCCCATTAACTAATCAAAACATACAAGGTGCTACCTTAGGTGGCCGTATGTGGACCCTGTGTTCAGTACATGTTGAGGCATTCGATAGATCATTTGACGACAGGCTGCACATGTAAGATCAATTGTTTTCACTTTCATCTAGTTTTATCATGTTATAATATTATTTTGGATTAGTTATCTAGTGAATTAAGAATTTAGTCAGATATGGATTAGCGTATCATTGTATCTGCTAAGTCAGGTAAACAAGTTTTATTCATTTCGGAAACTGTCTAATGGCATATGTTTGGATCTTTACGACGCCGGAAGTGTAGCGAGTTATGTATTAAACGCAATTTCAACAGATTATATGTCGTTAAATAAGCCATTATCCTTTACCAGACCATGTAATGCTATTTTACGAGTCTATATGAGACAAAATGCAGGAAAGTCTAACTTAATTATTCCTGATTAAATCTTGGCAACACTTTATTCCAGATTCATCACTCGTTAGTTCCATCTCTACCTCTTCTTTGATTAAGCGAGGGAAGAATGGGGAAATAGAAATAAGGAAATATATATAAAAAAGCGCGCGGTGGACGATGGAAATCAACCGCACACCGTATGCCTTCCTTGTTTTGGCGGCTCTGTCCGGTTCCAAAGAGGCACTCTGGGAAAGTGAGGCTTCATATCACTGAGTACCCACAGGGGGCCTTAGCATTAGATGAGAATTTCATTCCATAAATCGCCGACCGATATGTTTTTGCGTTTTGAGGTTTCCTGACGACCACCATGGAACTGTAACTGAGAATATTCGACCGTTTCTTAGTTTCGCAATGATCGGGTATTTCAAATTCAAATTGGTCGCCACAACACGCATCGGTGGTAAAGATAAGCTTTTTTCATTCATTTTCTAACCTGATCTGATGAGCCCTTCGATGCGTACAACCTCGATCAGACCAATAATTCAGTCTTCTTCCCCTACTCTCTCTTCTCTTTATCTGGCACAAAAAAAATCCTGTCCAAAAGTACCCAAAAGGACTCTACAACAGATAAACGACAGGGGTTTACCATACGCATTTTACAGAACTAGACCTGCCTTGAAAGTATA